TAAAGATATTTTCAAACCTCTAAGAGATCACAAATGGCAGGCTTCTCAATCCCACAAGCACACAGACAGCGATTTTCGGGCGTTTAGAAACCGAAATATTTCTTATTCTTAAGTAAAAACTATTAAAAAGTCCTTTTGATCGAATGGGTAGGAGAAGTGAATGTATCGTGCGTGCTTTCTCTGAACGATGACGGAAATTGGTAGGACAGCAAAAATCAAGGCAAAATACACGTTACCCAAGTTTGATTTTTTGCGTATATGCTACCAGCGGCATAAGAAATATGCTCGAATCAATGCCAGCTTTTCATCGTGTAAGAAGATGCTGGGGTTTTTATTTCCGACCAAACAGTTTGGCAACTTCGGTCAGGTAATATATTATCTCGGAAGGCTATTCTAAATGTTTCAGCGAAGTGTTTTATTGGCTTCAACCCACATTGCCTATGCACACCTGCTGATACTCATCTGTTTTGAAGAGACTGGTTTCCCATCTCTTGGACCTCAGGCATACAAATTCAGATTTGGATGACTTTGTGTCTGTGTGACATTTAAATCTCGGCAGCTTGAGTGAGTAACGTCATAAACGCGGGAAATCAAGGTCATGTGTGTCATCTGGAGCGTGATGTGGTTTCTCTTCAAGCAAAGTGATTCGCCACTCGTAAATCGATCTTGGCTTAGTTCAACTATGATATGAACCCTCGATTATCAGATTTCAGGCAGAAGGCATTTCCGCGGAAGGTATTTGATTACGTTATGGAATATACTTTGTTCGGCCGACCTAAAAATTGTCTGTAAAGCACTAGCTAAAGGGCAGGTGGCGATGATTAGACTATAAGATTTAAGGAAGTTTATCAGGAAAAAACTGACCGACTGGAGTGACTGTAGATCAAGCTCCAAGACAAGAGCATTATCCACACTGCGTTCTTAAAACATGTCAGATCGAGGAGTGTCGGTCAAACCTGACTTTAATATCCCCTATCGCCGTCAACAGACCAAACTGGAAGTACCTTGAACTAAACTGCCAACCGAACCCGAATTTAAATGCGTGACCCTCCCAGCCCACTGCAGGACTATGGTCAGCTGACGACAGCAAATAAGGCATGAACATTCATGTCAGCGTCCATAGTATTTGCCTCTTAGGCTTACAGTTGTTGGACGTGGGCAACGAGTCTTGCCCCAGGAGCTGGATGGGAGTCCTGACATTTGAATACATAGTAGGAGTTTCAGACTGAAAGAAGTTCACTGATAGACCGCTGGACCCCATAGTTCTCCTCGGCGTTCTGCGATTGCGAGTAATTGTGTAAAATGAAAGCACAGCCCTTTTGAAGTATGGGCTGGGGCCCTGACAGACCTTCAGAAAGCTGCGACTACAAAGGTTAAAACGATAAAAGAAGGATTTAGTTGAGGCTATTCCTGATCTTCTCGCCATTGCTAGTTGGCCACCCTCCCATCCCAGACCAGAATGAATCAAACATGCAACGTAATTCAAATGGCATAAGGGAAACCCCGGTTGTTTGCTTCATGGACATCCGGCCGGTGCTCTTTATCCTATTATTAGAGGGGTTGTGTTTCTCAAAAAGCAAAGTTTTCAAAGCATTATAATAACAGTTGCAACCTTGGTGCTGTTTGGTCTGCGATGGGCTTAAAGTGCGTGGGTTTTGTTAGCCATTCTTATTCTTGAATGTGAGTGTGTTATGGAAAGAACCTGGTGAGGACTGAATATGTAAGCCCACTGCACATATAGAGCGCAGGGGCTCCTGTAATACGGAAAGGATGCCAAAATGGGTTTTATCAGCAAGGTAGACATACGCAGCAACCGATGGAATTTGTGGTGGGCATTGAAAAAACACGCTTTTCTACCATATGTTTGTATATTACTTCAATAAGATACCGAAGCAGGCAATGAAGTTTGAGAGATTCGAATGAGAGGCGTATAAACGAGTGGAAAACAAGTAATCAAATAGTTTTGGTTGAAGAAGACCGAGTTGGGTAGGACTGTGAGTGACAGGCAAAGTGAACCCTAACCTTTTCCCTAGCCCCACGTTCTAGCCAGATCTTAGCCCTAAATTTGGCCATTTTTAAGCTTGGCCAGAACCGTAGTCCCGTCAAAATTAAATAGGTAGTCATACTACAATAATAGAAATACAGGCTAGCCTACTCAATTAATACCATGAATTTTGCAAAAAAGGCAGAAGCCAATACTGTATATGCAAAACTGCTCAGTGGGATAAGCAGATTCAGGTGAGGAAATCGAATTGCTTACGCGCTTTCTGTCCAAGCTAAGAACCCAACGGACTGCGTTATGATGACTGCCGCAACTGGCAGGGTGATTCTGTCGGCGTTAAGTCCGAACCAGCGAGACAGAACAATCCGTCTAACTTACTAAAAGACTTTCCGTAAACGGCGCCAGATGCATTTCGTAGATTCCGTGGCGTTTAGGAGGAAGCAAGTAGCACGCGATGCAATTCTGTTTAACTTTTACATTCTAACTTATCTTTCTGGGATTTCGACAGCCAAGTCAAAAGCCCCTTACAAAATTAACAGATCTGAACAAGTTTTGCCAGAAAGTTGAGTTTTTGGGCTGGAATAGGCATCTGTTACTTGGCCATGCCAGTACGCTTGGAGTTGTGGGTCAAGAGTAGTGTAACAAAAGCCCTCCTGAATCACATTTGCCTACAAAATTTAAAACAGAACAATCCTTGCAATATTGCAACCGCAACTGAAGCTCAGTGACCAAACGCAAATTTAACAGCACGGAGACTAAAAGCGCTGTCAGAAAGCTGTGAATGTCAGAAAAGATAAAACGTTGGCTTGATTGCAGACTCTTTCCCCAGGGGTGATGATTAACTTCGGCCATTAGTGTAGGTCGACACAATTTGTATTCAGTTATAGGTTTTGTCACCCGCAGTCGGTTTAAGTGGGTTCTATGTTGATAAATTTGCCGTTTACTATAATTTAAAAGCGTTACAGTCTGCACATACGTACATCAGCTCAAGCTAGTAATCTCGGAAATTATAAAGTGCCTGACTTGATGTCAAGTTGCACGACGTTTTAGGGTCAACCCCGAAATCTCAATGAACATTTGAACTGAAGACAAGCAACTTCTGCAAAATAAACCGTAATGCCCGTTGTACAAACAAGCCATAGTCTATTTTTTACATGGAAAATATATTGACTCCACACCTAGCATAAGTACTAGTTAAAAGACCAAACACATATTTCGCCAAATTAATAAGTGCGTTCATATCCCGAGCACTGGCCTCCATGTTCTGCACTTTCGAAATCATTAGCTTAATATTCATATGGAGTTCACCAGCATAGAGGACGTCTGAGGGCACACTGAGAAACCGAACTCCTCACAGTCGCGTCAAGTAGTAATGGAAACATCGGAAAAACACGTTTCTGGATTTGTAACTAATGCCTACATTGGGAGTACAGTGGACACTTTCGTCAGACCTCGCATATTTGGGTTCGATAAAATAACATTGCTTTGGATGTTAAATCGCGCAATTATTGTGAAAACCAACCGTACTCATACTCTTCTCCTTCTTAACCCTACTGCTGAAGCAGTCAAAAGTTATCGTTATCCATAGGTACTGCTACAAGACTGAACTTCGCAAGTGTCATCTAAAATATCGTTTGTGGATCATGCTCCCGACTCAACGCGATAGGAAGCCTCGCAGGGTCGTGTTAAGTAGCACGTTTTCCGCATTTTACATCCCAACCCAGTGGCTCTTGCTTCTTATAATGTTTGCTTCTATTTACTTTGTGTATCGCTCATTTGGACTCATCTGGACATACGGACTTCTAAACAAGCCTCTCCATATAGGCAACAATGTCCGCTATTGAAAGCAAATGACCGGTGTTGCAGAGTTCGTATACTCTGCTCGAAAGCTACGTATGCTCGCCACCTCGTCTTCTGATTACAGCTACGGGAATTTTCGCAACTCCTTCTTTTTCAATTGGGGCGGCTGCGTGCGACACAAGCTTTTTAAAGTCAGGACTCTTTGAACAGAGATCAAAGAGTCCAGATCGCTATTGTTTAGTCCAACCGTGTTGCCATACCCCTTTAAGCTCAAAGTAAGGCGAGTCAGAGAGCGCAACTTTGTAAAAATTAAAAATTCATGCAACCATTGCGTAGATGTGCTAGTGTAACGACAGCAAATGAAGGTCGACGCGCTGTATGAACAATCTACGGTTGACTTTCTTTTGTTACATCCGCTAAAAATGCACGTTTGCTCTGTGCAGCTGGGTTTCAAAATTTCAGCGCGGATACTTCACCCTGAAACTTCCGTTCTCGGTAAATGGCTGGTAGAAGGTAGCAAATTACCCTCAGCAGGGTAGAGTAAAAATACAACTGCGGAAAGCGATAAGTGTATGAACTTTTCCCTCGCATATCCCGCATCTATTTATGCAGTTTACTTAACTTCAGTTAGTCTTCACACGGCTGCGGAACTAGCAGAAAAAATCGTTACATTGCCCCGGTACACGAGGACTTTTGGCACAGTCATTCTGGAAAGCAAGGAAAAATATGAAGGGTACGCTGTTAGGAGATGAAAGCGATCGTTATACCACGGTCTTTGGCAGAGTTAAGTTCGTGAAGATTTACAATGACAAAAATAAGAGATTGCGGTAGCGAAACCAGGGCACCCGTAACCTTGAGCTTAATACAAACAAACGACATAAACATCACTATTGCACCACCTTCCCGTGTTAGCTGCTTGCAAGACGACCGACTTAGCGTGAGCCTGAGTGACTGTGAAATGCCAGTCAAGAAAGGAGGCCTTCTGGAGACTCACACTGTGAGAAAGTGGTGATTCACACCTTGGCACTGCCCTCTCTCCTGCTCGATTGGCGTGAATGACCTGGGCCTCCGGATTGGTCTGTGTATGAGCCAACTTCATGTTTGCGAGTGAACTTCTGACAGTGAGATCTGTGTGAAATTGTGGATCCGAATACTCAGAAGGAATTAGGGACGTGATCATTGTTTTCATTTCTACAGAATGGACCTTCAGCTCCAAAACGCCTCCCTGAAGGTAAAACTTTTTTCGATTTGTGCTTTTTGACATACTTGTGCAGTTTAAAGGTCTCCAGTCACTTTCTACCTCCGTTTCTGTGAAAATGACAGGGTAGTTCTAAAAACACCGGCATAGTACCGATGGATGATAAGAAGTTCGCGGGTCGATTTGGCAGGAACTTTTTCTGGGACCCGAAAGGCCTGTATAGAACACACAAAGCAATCCTCCGCATGTTGCTTGAGTTCTGTGCGTCTCTTAAGTCTTAGCAGTCAGAAAGAAGTGTCAAAAATGAGCTAAAAGCCTCACCGAAACTTGGGTCTTAGTTGGAAAAACTGACTTCGTCACTTTGTAGAAGCAACCGGTATTTCAAAGTCTTTTTACGAGGCATTGGTTCTCATGGACAGTTTTTGCCACGTGTAATGAAATGTGCTTTTATGGATGCCTGCTCTCCCAAAATGTGTGCTTTGGATACCGAGGGGTTTTTTGCAGTCACCGAGATATTGTAAGGCAAAAGTGTTTTCGAGATACTGGGCACTAAAAAGAAAACATGACTACAAGTTCCCAGCAAGTTCTATTCTTTAAAATAATTGCTTTCGCAGTCTACAATCTTTTGCCAACGACTTACAGGTTTACAAATCCTGCCCGAATGGGAGTTTGCGTCGCTAGACGCGAGAAATCCAGTAACCTCCGTTTCATTCTTTCCCTCATCACAAAACTGCTTACTTTGCATAGGGCAATCTACCAACCAAAAAACGTAATAATCGATTGGAGAGCTATCGAGTAAGTAGGAGGGGGGGTAAATTCGCCAACTTAAAGACCGGCTTTTCTTCGCTCGACTCTCGCGTTTTCCCTCAAGAATTACCTTCTTTCGACTAACACCTCCCGTTTGTTCCTGAGGTAACGCATCCTTTGCGTACTTCATTTGAGTAGTGTAGACCCCAGCCCTGATTGTTTGACCATCGATGCCCTTCCAGTTGATGATACCGGTAACAGTGCGGCATATACGTTTAATAAAGGTCCGTTGGTAAAACGGTATATTTGAAGAGCCTGGTTCTGCAACAACTGGTGACAACCAACAAGAGTTTCGCTTGTTTACTTTTTCACCAGAAGTGAACGAACAGTAAAGAAATTGTTTTAAGGTGCAAAAGTCGTGGAGACCAAGTAGTTATTTAGCTTTTTGCTCTGTATGTGGAATCTATTTATTCAAACCCCACGATTCTCCCAGTTGATATAAGTGTAACTTACTTGCCTCGTCACTCACAGCAGACTTTTTATATACTCTTCACGCGTTATTTATGATTTTTTAACTGTGTCTTCCTGGTCGATGTGCACCTTCAAGGCGTTATCAATCAAAGGGGGATTCTCTAAACCATAACTGTGCAGTTAGTCCTCTGAGCACACTTTCCCTCAAATGCTATGCATATATTACAACGTACTTCTACCGAATCTGACTCCAGTTTATGCTCGAAGAGTGAACAATCTCGGGTCACACTCGATTCAAATAACATCTTAAAAATGGAGGAACTTCAGAAACCACGCCTTGACCAACTGCCCTACGTACACACACAGGCTAAACAAGTCACGGCAGTTTCAACAAGTCATTATATCGAATTCTGACGAAAAACTGTATGAACATTTTGAGCGACCGATATTTTCACAGGGCAGCCCGGGGTTGGTGGAAGTTATGTCAGCCTGCGTATAAGGAAGACAGGCAACCTGAGCAGTTTCAAGCAAACTTTTAATGTCAGCATGTATAACAGCGCTGTATTTGAATCAAGGCAGTATCTTTATCAACAGTAAACCCTTCGAGACCGCACAGCTTAGCACCAGCGGAATGAAAACCGCAATCAAACAGCTAGGAAGAATTCCGTTCTGATTCCCGCAGACATCTTTGGGACAAGTATTTTGACATTCGAGTATTATAACATAATATTTATTTGATTGTATAGGGCGGATTTTGGTAAAGTTACAGCAGGTAACCAGGCTTATCAAACATTGACCAGAATTCCGAAATACGGTCTCAATCAGAAAAAAATTGCCAGAGCGAGGTTGCAATACTGCTTAGGATGCAGTGTACCACAGAGATTTGATGTATGCCAAAATGCCGGTTTTCGAATGATCATCTTTCCAGGAACATGGAAAATCCCACACTCTCAAAAATGACTACCTAGACGATGTAATTCATGAGTTGATTTTTGGTATCTGTATAAATCTAACCATATTGGGCAGGAAACATAACGGAAACTACCCTTTTTATACTCACTTTGTATGAGATTATGTCATCTTTAGATATCATCGCTCGCCTGTAAACAAGAAAAATGTTAGCATGCTGAAATGACCATTCAGTTAGCATCATATCTGTAAGTTTATTAATGTTGTCTTAAAGTATGCAACATGATTTACTGCAAACTATTATCGGCATTATATGTCGTCTTCCCGGGGGTGTTGAGAGATGTATGATACTGCTGGAATATACAAAATAGAGCATTTAATTTGCAGACCCTGTGTTTTAATGCGTTCTTACGTTGTACTTGAAATAATACATAAAGGTAGAATTAAAATTAGTTGTAAAATATAAAGAACGCCTGCCACGACCATCCAATTAACAGCTAGCCTCCCCGTGGTAAGTACTCGTGGTCGCCAATGTGATTCATGAATTTAGCTTGGGTACGTTCTGCTCATGGACTATTTCCATTTTAACTCGGAACGGGAACAGAATGAGCACTCTTTAATAAATATTAACCAGCATAACGCACAGCAAAATATGACTCTTTTCGTAAAGACAATTTAAAATTTCCTCCGAGCTTATCTTTTACTCCTCGAGTAAAGTCACTGGAGAGGAATTAACAGGTATGACCTTACTTCTTATGCAAAAACTGTTGTCAAATGCAATTAACTTCAACGAAATAAACGTGCGCATGTTGCATTTGTATATCTACTATTAATACGTGAGTAGTGTTCTGAACCTCGGGCTGACAATATCGTATTTGTTGAAAAAATTGGATTTGCCAACAATGTTTTTGAATGGCCGGCTGACCTGAACGCAGAACGGTAAAAGAGAGGTCCCAATTTGCATAGCAGCCTGTAAGTAAGGCCGTTTTTGGTTTTTAGTCGCTTTTTCGCCATCGTGTCAAATTTTTATTTCAAATTTCACTCCACGCCAGACATGACAGTTCGTACTCACTTCGGCTCCCTTAAACCTAGTGTGGTTTTTCAATTACCTTTTTCTAACTTGCCGTCAGATGGTGCGCGAGTGATTTATTCACCAACCCCTAGCTCACTGACCTTAAAGTGCCAAAGATTGCTACTTGGTGTGTAGTTGACTCATCTGCAGTTCAGCTACTCCTTACGAATGAACTCGCTTTAAATGGTCTGTCAGCCGGCAGTTACCATTGTGGAGAACTGCATCTCTGACATTCGTGTTTGTTAGTACTACTAATAATAATGATATCAAATCTGGGCTAGTCCGCACAATGGGCACGACTTCGCAGTAACTCACTTTCCACTGCGCCGTAACAAACAACGAGTTCAAAGGTGCACACTTAAATTTCCCTCAAATCAGCCGCGCTGAACATCGGGTGCGTCGTGCGACGTGACAGAAGTGGTTTAAGACAAGTGTTGTAGTTCCATGCCACTGAAGGCTGAGCTTAACATAAGTTCTTTAAACGCAACGTGTACTTGGTGGAAATCTGTTCGGGTTAGTCTAGCACGCCGGAGGGGGGTGTTTCAGGTTTTTCCAATTTAGAAGACTTCTCTAAAGTTTGTTGTCCAGCTTTTGTCGCTTAATTGCCTGCCAGCGATTAGCATAAGATTTATGAGCGCTTGTGGGGAAAAACATTCACGTAGTCAGTGCAACGAGTTTTCGTCTTCTATTTTAAAAGTGGCCTTTCGGCTTCAAATTACCCAAAAGAAGTCACTTTAAAACTAGTGAGGATATAACGGTGTGCCCATATGTGTGATACAAGTTCTTGTGCTTTGTACTCGTGAAAATACTCCCTTGCCTGTTCTGTCGGGTACTAAAGCGTCAATGAAGCAAGCAGTCCAAATCCATGTTAAGGGGTTTCAACTTGGCTTGACAACCTGATTTGTTGCAGGGAATATTAGTACTTTTTTAAATAAACTGTAACGACAGGCTTTCATCTGCTGACACGCAGTTTTATGCTTGCTGTAATACGAAGAGCTTGAGTTCCCAAAGTGTTTTACAGTTGTCAGGGCCTCTAGAAAGAGTACTTATGGGAGACGTGGGTATAAGAGAAGGAGCAGATACTTGGAAATTTCTGAATCTTTCTGTAAACTGAAATTTAACAAACAATCTCATCCGAGAGGAAAATATTGATCTACATTTTACCCCTAATAAACGGAATAGGGTTCGTGAAAGTCACCAACAGTGAAAAGAGAGGCTGGAATGTTTTGAGATTTGCCTCGCAAAAGACTGCCGGAGAGGATTTGAGTCAGACTCTCTCCCGCTTTTGTCTTGTCAAATCCAGATCAGAAACCGTTAAGGTTTCATTTAGGGCGCGTTTGCTGACCTACCCTAGTTTAAAGGTTAAACACGAAGGTATTGCATTTTGCCTTGAAATTCAAGCCCAGAGTCCGAGCAGACGATTGTATGGTTTATTTCATCCTACAAGCCTACTCGTGTGGGTTCAGTAGTCTGGCCAAGAGCCAGTGTGGAGGATGAACGGGAAACTCTTAGCCCACACTGTTGACCCATAAAGAGGTGTCCCTTTCCCAATCTGGAACCAAGATGAATTCCGTCTGCGGCAGTCCATGTGTATATCAGACGCATTCCCGGAACTGGCTGCGTTGCAGGCGCGCTGAACCATCACAGGAGCTGGAGTTGCCTATGACACGCATGTTTTCGGGTTACGCTGAGTCCGCGCAAGGATATAACTAACCCTATAAAGTCGTATGGTGCGCTTTGTACCTATGTAGGCCTTCATCCCACGCCACCTACTGCATGCAATCTCGGGCAGCCGACCGGCACGGAGGAGAAGGAAGGGGGAATGAGGGTCGATCCCGGTAAATCCTTCGTCATTACAAACCAACTCACTCATCGACACACTACATCTGACGCGCTATCAGTCAGAGCTTGAAGGATTGTCAAGTAACGGGCTAACTCAGGCCTTCTGATTAGAACTGACAGTCAGCTGCACCGGTCCCTTAAGATGCAGTCCTTACGGTATTTTTGCCTAGTTGACATCCGAGTCGCCCTTATCGTCGGGGACGAGACCGCGTGTGGCCACTGGACTCCCGCCTCCCCTCGGTCGTCTTGGCCCCGCCTTGCCATCAGGGAACAGTAATTTTTGGGGGTGAGAGGGAGGCAGATGCAACGTAAGTCTACCTAAGTATAAACGAATTTATGCGCAAACCACAGCTGCTGGGTCCAGCTCGAGTGACAGCGATGGGCGCCGTCACTCCCGAAGGTCATACTATCAGGCATTAGACGCCAACTCTTTCTCGCCGAATACTGAACTAGGAGGGGGAGCACAAATGGTCAGAAAACTCAACTTTACATTGTTAATTGTTTTTGTTGACTAACTTCCGAGAAAAAGCTGAATACAACCAAAATTTGCTAAATAGGCCTGATTCATTAAGTACAATTTTGGAAATGCCCCCTGTGATAAATTCTTATTCTGGAATATACACAGGTTGCTCTGCTCTTCAGTAATAACGGCCACGGCTCGCCATCACCTATCCTAGTTTTGTTGCTTTCCCCTCTAAGCTGACAAGTATCGAGCTCGTGGGACAAGACACTTATTTTGTGAAAAAAAACCAGAATGTGTGGTATTTGTAAGTCATTCATGCGTAAAGGGAATCAAGTAAGATAGTGAGTTGCAATGGCTATACTCCCTCAAATTGTATCACATCGAACGCTGTTCTGAGCGTTTGCTTCAATCCAATCAACTCGGCGTTTTATCAAAACAACGATGCACGACAGTATTCACAGTCGAGTGGACAAAGATTGAATTACCCCCAGCCAAAATGCCTCCAATAAATTTACCGAAGTTGGCCTGGACTATCAAGTATGTAGACTGACCTATTTTTTGCTATCAAAAAGGGACAAAATTCCCCCTCAGTTACTTTTATGGAGGAAGCAAAGGGGCCTACTATAGGGCAGTGTAGATGAAGGGCGCCAAGAGTCGAAAGAAAGTTTGAGTCCTGCATATCAACGAAGTCAGGTTTGGCGCGTTTTGTTTTTGTAGTAGGAGCTATCTATCCCGTCACCTAGCTCATTTGCCTGAGCAATATTGCTTACTTCAGGGTCAACTGCCACGTAATTAGGTTAGCAATGAACAAAGCACCTACCAACTAAGTGGAAACTCGGTACAGCAGTTAGAGCGCAGATTAGCAGTGTACACTACTCGTGCAAGCGAGCATCGTTTCGTCGCCCAGCAGTCATTGAACCGGTTTAAGGGGTCGGTCTGGATGAAAAGTACATCAGATCAGTGAAAATCTCTTGTACTTACGAGACCTGAACTTCACCCTGCATGGCGACATGTAAAAAAAGCAAAATGAACTCACGCATGGCTGAATAGGTCAGACGGAAGCAGTGACTCCGTCCTTGGGAATGAAGATGAGGATCAGCAGGTTCTTGCATTACACCCGTGAATTATTTTCATCAGTCGACAGTGTTCACTAACACTGGTCTCCTTTTTCTGAGGTGGTCAACCGTCGATGTAGGCAGGATGAAAGGTCAGTTCCTCTCAGTATGGGCTAGTTTTGCTGATATTCTACTACCAACCATACTTGTGTTTAAGCCTATACAAATACATTGTATTGGTTCTTCGTCTAAAGCGGAAATGGAAAGTTTAAGTTATCGCCGGAGTAGAAAGCTCCATTCCTTCCCCACTTCAAACAGACGAATTTTCGGCGATTTGTGTGGCGATAACCGGTCTTTGCTAAAGTGGTGAAAACGGCCCTTAGGCAGTATCATTCTCATGGGTAGTTCGATTTAAACGACCCAGACGGAATACCCTGTTTGAGTTAACATCTGTACCAGACTATATTTCTTGCCCGGGTTGCTAGACACAACAACACCGCTAGTCCCACGGCAACCTGCTAAGCAATTTCATATGGCCCTGCCCTTTGATTGGTAATTTCCTTGAAGACCGCGCTAGTCCGCTGTTCTCCGAAATCGCTACTACTGTATTGGACTTTTTCCCCTTTAACTAAACTGCCTTGTACACATCACGTTCTCCAGTTACTGGGTGTGGCTCATAAATCACATCAAAAAGACCATCTTTCCACCTATATCATCCCCGACTACTTATATGATTGCCCAAAATCATTGTCTTGCTGACTTATGACAAAAATCCTGTTTGCTGTTTACCCAACAAACACGCTTTTCTTCTGATCAGTCTCCGATAGCCTTTGGTGTGCAGGCCAAATACGCTTATTCTTCCCTCTCCCTCTCTTTCACCTCAGAATTTGCCTGTATCGTTTCTAAGGTCTCCTCTATCTGAGGCATTAACTGTAACATATCTTGGCTCCTCAGCAAATCCACGCTTCAGGCAGAAAGGTTGCCTACTTCTCAAGTGAACTCTGGAGCAGTGCCAGTCCATTCTTGAGTGACTAACTGGCTTAGGGTTTCTTTTAACAGGATAAGAACCTAGTTTGACCTGCTTGAGTCGTTCTTTACGTCTTAACAGTCAGTCATAGTTGTACATTTGGTAGACTTTCAGGTCAGACAGCAAAAAGGTTTTACTTTTAAATGACGTTCAACTCTTCAGTAGAGAATGTTACCATCTCCATATTTTGCGTCTTCTAAATTCTTTAGCCCCTACACTAACCTTTACTTATGTCGTTTCATGATCGAAGAGAAAGCATTGTTCGGCCATCTCAAGTGTCACCTATTGGCTTTTCATCTGCGCAAAAGCCCGACACATTTAAGCAGTCAAGAACGTGCCACTAATCAACGCTAAAGTATTTGGTTAGTCGTTGTAAAGTCAGACCATGTGGTCACACTGCCTGCTCGTCTCCTGCTTAATTACCTAGGTGGGAACAGCTGTCTGTGTTTCTTATTTGAGGTTCATCTGTTTAATCAAGAGTGTATGTTTAAGAATTTTTATTTGCCATAGAAAACAAAATGGGGAAGATTGGGGGGCCAATCAAAGACAAATCGTATGCATTCATTCCTAGCTCTGGAGACACTGAAATAGTCCCCTACTTAAGCCAGAAATGTACCCGTCCCACCTATATAACGTGTACGCGTAGATTTTGCTGTTTAGAAATTGTTATCGACAAACATTAGGAAAATCATGATGGCCGTCAGTCAACTATGTCTCGAAATCTAAGTCATATTAGCAGCCTTTGTTCGTGTCAGTAACAGTTCTCAGTTGTTGTTAGTTGCCGTTATTCTGTCGCTTATGGCTGCCCTAGAGCCGGAGCTCCGGGGAAAACCGGAAATGTCTAAGTCAAACTGGACTGCCGCTGTTGTTCTGATATTGATTTCCTTCAATCGGCATCTGTGACGTCCCAATTAATCGTCACATGGAAGGAAAGCGTAGGCTGTTCCGGTATTCTATACCGGAAATTGCATGTTTCTTGATAAATTTGAATGGTCCCGTTCTCAGCCGATAAACTGTCAATAATGATCTAGTGAAACCGAGCTCTAAACAAGAAATGAATTCCATTTAGTAGTATCGAAACCAATCGCTCCAGCAATTAATCAATAATGAATCCATAAATGGTCGATAGCGAGTTCCACTATTCGGTTTAAGAGAGGGGCCAATTCATTCTACCTAGGCCCGTTATTTAGAACAGGGCCTGCTTTTCACTAACGGGAGCACATACGAAAACACCGCCAAAGATATTTGTAATATTTTGAGTTCTAAATCACCGACAGGAAGCTTACCCCAACTCCCAGTATTGGACGTTTTTGTTTCTTTTACGATATGGCTCTATTTCTACAATGGCGAGGCGTGAGAAGGGTTTAAACATGGATAGCCTTCTTTTCAAAATACAAACCGCTTTGCCTCCCGGAAATTCTGGGCGTGAAATCGCCGAAACATATTGGTTTTTCTAAGTTCCACGAATATTCCCATGTTTCTATTGCAAAGTCAATTTGGCAAACCCGTGTTTTCGGTAACTCTTCATCAGGCCAAAACGGTTACATAGAAGTTTAAGTTATGCGAAGTTACATGGCTTATAAGTGATTCAGGGACAATTAACATCCATCGTTCCCACGCCACTCGTGCTATGACGTGGTTTTTCACAGCAAACGTTTCTTACCACACCATCCCTGAATGTGGAAAGTCACCCAGTACGATCTGGATCCCCAGATTCGGTTCCTCAAAGGTTATGCTCCAGTATCAAACTATGATCGGTTACAAGAATAAGTTGCTCTTCTTTCAGCTTATGTACTTCAACATCCGGGGTCGCGGGGAACTCATTCGTTCCATACTCTACGCCGCCGGAAAACAGTTTACCGACCAAAGGATTGACCTCAGGGACTGGCTTGCCCTTAAACCGAAGATGCCCTTTGGACAGGTGCCCGTTCTTGAGGTGACGCCGCCATCAGGAAATACAATCCTTCTTACAGAAAGCCTTGCAATTGCTCGTCTCTTGGCAAGGGCCTTCAAAATGTACGGCAGTAGCCCAATGGACATCTACTACATTGAGCGAATTCTGAGTGTGGTGAGTACCCAGTGGCAGAACGAACGGAGTATTTTCTTGCATGAGATCTAACACTTCAACTTTTGTTCGGAAAATGAAGAGCTAGAGAGCGATTTAAAATTGGCAGGGACGGTCGGCCGAACGCGTAAATTGTCTACCCATCTATGCTACAAACGGAAAGTGTGGTTGCACAAAGCTGTGCCAAAAGAATTTGGCGCCATATGTCAGCCTGTCAAGTCAGCCGTGAGTAACTCGAAGTCTAAACAGTCAAACTTTAAACGTCTTCAAGTGCCATCATTGTCAAAAATTCTGTATGCTCGAAGTTAGGCATTCGCAGAGAGAGTTCCCACGTCTTTGCTTCTGAGAATTTTCTGGAGAGTTAAGTGCAGCAAATTAGCGTAAGATGTGGCAGATCGGTGCCTTCTCAGGTTGTCCAGGAAAAAGACCTTAAATTTTAGAGATCCTTAAATGCAAACCGTGGATGAAATGTGGAAGAGCACAGCAGATGTTGGCGCACGAACCATGGGTTTGTATTCCGGAATTAAACCCGGTTGTTTTAATTTCCTCGCATTCCGCATGCGAAATTGCCGACCTCAAGGTTCCCCGCCTAATTTCCATCCCTTTCTGGCGGATTGTTGTGTGGGGCAGAAATCATTTACGGACAGCCCTACAGCTTTCTAGCCTACCGATATTGTCATGAACAAAGAGCCAGTTAAGGCTTCTGCCAATCCAGACTTCAAACTCAAATACCCCGTTGGGTAGGTGGTGATATGTTGCGAAACAGTAGTCCTTTTCGAGAGGCTAAGGGACTTGGAGTTCTAAATAGCAGGATTTGTACGAAGCCCTCCCTGGCGACAAAACAGCGTTCGTTCGAAGTGTCGGGGTTTAGTTCATGGTTATCAGCAACTGGGAGTTTATCCACTTCACCCGGTAACTTGTGCTCGATTGTTTGACTTGGGTGAGGGACGTAAAACCACGAGTCATGGAAATATGGAGAGCACTTCCAGACGCTGGAACGTGACATTCGTCTCAGGCGCGAGGTAGTTGAAAACACCATGAGCCAATAGGGTTGTTGGTCTTAATTTTGCCTATTTCTCGCAAAAAAATGAAACCGGTGGTTTTCATCGCAAAGCATCGGCCAAAGTGGTCAAGCTGCCACAAATAAAGTCCTGCTAGGGAAGACTGGTAAATCCTGACTTGGAATCAAAACCACTTTACCAACACCTGAGGACCGGGTAATTCATTAGAGGGAAAAATCATTAAAATAGGTCTGCCAATTTAAATGGATTTAGTGGGAAAACAATAAACATTTCGTACATTCGAAGACATAGAGTGGTTAAGTCTAACTCTGCTTTAGATCTTTCCATGACTCTTATCACCCCTTAGATAGTCTACCCATGCGCAACCATCTTTTCTCATTGCAGAATGCTGTAGTGGCCAATGATGTATATTCCCTGATGCTCAAAAAAGCCTCTGATGTTCATCTTCACCTCAAAGATGCCTACATAACGGAGAAGTTGGATGTGAGTTTTCTTGCAATGTTGCCTTTGAGAAACCAAGAGAATCCAGTTGCAGTCTAGGTTTCCAGCTAGTGCATCGACAACATACTATGGGAAGTGAAACTTTCAAACGAAAGCTATACTACTGCTTCCAGGCAACGTGTCCCAGTAGGGGTCATTTAATTAGACTTTTAAGAAGAGACGGGCATGAATGCCTTCACGTAGGGAGGCAAAATGACGTTATGACTGCATTACTCAAACCCCCAGGAGGAATCTGTGACCCGAAAATACACTGATACGTCTTCGATAATGCAGACATCTGATGGCTTGAAGCCCTTTGTGCGGTGTGTTAGGTACCCAAACCAGACATTTATTTTGGGGCCTTTAAGTCATCTCTTAAATGGGATTACCATTCGCTAGATTTCATATTCGCGTCCTCGAAAATTTAGGCGCTTGCGTCTACTTATCTGTTGAAAGTAGCTCTTATAGGGAGAGATAAAGAAATATCAGTAGGCTGAGGCTGTCACCATCGCCTCTAGTCGACACTCCTGTGGATGCGGTCTCAGAATTTGTGGGCTATAAAAAGAAAAACCCAAATAATCAAAGGGATCGAACTGACTGCTTTCGAAAAGTTACGCCGAGGTTGGTCTCAGACATCTTCATGGTCAGTGAGCCTTAGGAATCTATGCTTCCAAGCTTTCCAACCCAATTTTGAAGCAACCACCTTTCGATTCCTCTAATTTTGACTTTTCGTCAAAAAGTCGATTCTAGAGTTCATGAAGGAGATGAACGGACCGTTTATTGGAGGCAACAGTGTGACCATTGCGGACTTGGATCTCCTAATCCTGCAGGACCTAGTGGACAGGGCTTACCCGAATCTTAAACACGATGTGAAGGAGCGCTTGACGACACTGAGAAACAACGTCTTCAGGGAGAAGCCTGGCTTGGAACGTTACTACAGATCGCGACCTCAAACGGACTTCTAGGAGTTGAGATACATTCGCATAACAATTGGACGGAGGTGGATATAATTAACTGCGTATCTTAGTTTTCTTTTAATAAACGTTATAAAAAAACTCATGTGCGTATCAGACCGGATAGAGGAGGCACGAACGGTGCCACATGAGTCGTGATTACGCCCTTACCTATGCCATTTCGGTTCTTTCGAAACCGAAAAGTCAAAAATTTCGACGACGATCGTTTTAAAGTTTTAAAAGTACACAAGCCTATTTGGTACTTTTCCTGTGTTAAGGTACTAAAAAAGGGTAGCAGTATTAAAGATAAAAGACAATCTACGCCTACAGTCGAAGGCCAGAAATGCATCTGCGAAATCAGCAGCAATCCACACGTCTACTGGTCTGAGAATGCATCTGTACTGCCTGTGCGGGCTTCAGGTGAAACCTGCCGTAAGGCGGAATGGCCGACAACAAGATTCTCAAGTCAGAAGGTAGGAAAACGAATTGGGTTGGACAGTCCTTACTGATGAGGAAGTGCGTACTAGAGGCTCAGCAAGCAATTGCCGTGAGCTCTCTCCAGGTTCGGTGTATTCATCGAAATTCTGAAATGCACTTTCAGTTCGAAAAGATTACTCGACAAGTAGGGTTGTCACGTTAATTATCGTGTTGCATAATGTCAAAATGTTCCAGGCACGTGAGGATGCCGGCTTTCGAGCGAGCTCATTGTCGACCGTCTGCGTTAAGTACATGCCGTAAACAAATGGCTACTTAAGCAGCATGAACTGTTCTCCATGATTTTTGATGTCCTTATAGATCTAATTATATTTTATAAAAACACATGCACAAAAATATTCTTTCGTCTAGTCACTTGGTAGAAAATTACGCTTTATCCTAATTTTATACTTGAAGAAGGACTATCTTCCGGTCTTAAAAAAGGTTTCTAATCATGGGATTTTTCAAGACCGTGAAATGCCCAGCCATACAGCATCGCATAAGCATGCTTATTAATGCTGTTTATAAGGTGGACGGCGTGGTCCACATTCATTACAAAATTCTATAGGCCCCACATGTCCTCTTCACAATAGCATACAGAAATGTATGATTTTCCCAGCACAGAAAGCAAACAGCTTGCACTTCGGAAGCCCTGAATGCTAGTGTAGCGGCAGGTCGGGTTCAAAATCATTCGGGAATTAAGGAAGTTTTTTAAAACCAAAAGATACTATTTTCTACCAAACGAGTAGGAAAAGGAATATTTTTGCATGTATTTTCATCAAAATATATCTGAATTTACAAGGGTATCGAAAATTAGTTGAATAATCCATGCCACTTAAGTAGTCATTTTGACAGAACGTAGTTTATGCAAACGGTCGATAGTAGGCTCATTTGGAAGCCGGCATCCTGACGTGGCTGGAATATCTTAGCATTATGCGACGCAATGACTAAGCTGACCATCCTACTCAAGTAGTCTTCTCGGACTGAAATCACATTTCAGAACTTCAGTCCACATTTCATGAGATAGGATGCTGTGATCTCTAGTCAACTGCTTGTCTGGCTGACGTCGTTTCGATAACCGTCTACACAAGTTTGGACCGAGAATGCGTGGAAGATAAATAGGGAGCGGAGCTGCATAGCAGGAAAAAACGGAAGCAGGTGAACACGGTCTGTAAACAGCTGTGGTAAGTGCAAGCACAAATACGGGGGTAAAGTTAACAATTGAACATCACAATAATAGCACACAGAGGACATAGACTAAATAAAACATAAGTCTTTCGGACATTTGTACGACCGCAGTTAGAGTTCGCTATTCAAGCGTGGAGACCCTGTAGCTATTGATAAAGTCAGCGAAGTTTCGTCTCGGTTGAAACGTAGACACACCTAACCGTTCAGTGCGTTCCAAAGTTGTCAGGCTTCGCAACTAACTTTCAAATCAAGCAGTTTTGTGCTTGGCTCTAGAAGGGACTTTCTTGCCGCGGACCAGGTGTCAACTAGCAGTATTCGGGGGGCTGTAGAAGAAAAGCTGTGTGCAGCTTTTGGAAGTGCCTTCTGATGAGAAAGAGCCCCTTGTGAGCTCTAGTCGCAGCCTTCACTGGCTGCGAGGTTTTCCAAAGTAGTCATTCCAACGTCCGCAGTATAGACGGCGCTTTGGGCGACCCAGTCACCGGAGCGCAAGGCAGTGGTCAAAGTCGGGACAATAAGACTTGGTAGGGGCAGGATACAATGAGCCCAATCACTGCGTCCTAACGTGAATCAAGTAGCACCTATTGCAATGCCAATAGCTGCTCTGGTTATCTTGCATGAAAGAGCCTCTGCTCCCCCTGTAACGCGCACATGCAATGAGAGGGCCGCAAATAACCTCCAAGACTAGAATAAGAACCAACTTTTCCTAAATGAACTTTTTTAAACGGGGAAGCTGAGGCAGGAAGCATTAGGCGACGCCTCGAGAATGTACTCTACTGCACTGTAGGATAGTTTGCATATCCAAACAACGCGCAAGCATTCTTAGGTCAATAACGACACCCTTTCTTTCAATACGCACCATCCTAACGAAGGACGGCTGAACCCGCCCTTCGGTAGGTCCAGATTACTCTCAAAAACTGCCGTAACCCTCTGCATCGTTAACTACTTGGCGCCCGTTCTGGACTAATACTGTTGCCCTTTGTATTTACTTTCCAACATTCCGCTCATCAATGGACAGGGCTTGCTCGCCTTCTCCAATAAGAGTACGGGGAGCAAGCGTGCTTGTTAAGGTTATATTCCACCCTTTAGCTCCCGGGCGTCCTTCCCCTTCTGATTCTTGTTTGAACGACCTGAGACCAGGAAGAACAATGTTGCTTCTGATCGCGTCGAGCTCACTGATTGCCGATGCTCGGCTGTCGATAACGAGAGGTTTGCTAGCTCCAAAGTCAGCGAGACAGAGTTGTTGAGACGACAATTGACTCCACTGCCTTCTAAGCCACCCGCACGCCTTCTTGCAGCCGTAAAGGTTGCCTCACTAACGCTGCCTCCCTGACTCTTGATTTGGGAACCCTCTAGTTGTCGACTGTTGTGCACCGCCACACTCCGGAACGAGGTATGCGTCATCCAAGCGAGGTGGACATCCAACAATACCGCATTCGCAGATCAGGGGATTCGGAAATTAAAGAACAGAAAATAAGGCGTAAACGAAACACTCTTTTTCAACCGAACCCCCAGTTCCAGCAGGAGTGCGAGCGAGCTGGCTGAATGATGAAAAGTAAGTACAATTATTTGCTTACTGCTGGCTATGGCCTAGAAGTGCACAAGTAATGAAAGTGGTTCAAGTCAAAACAGTTGATCAATCAGCATCGTGGGAAGCGCCTATGATCCACGGAATGAACGGTGTAAATGCCGAGTGAGGCGGTTGCGTTTTGGTAAATGTTAAAGCAGCTGCCTCGGACAGTGCGCTGAATACGATATGTGTCCTGGGCTATTCTGCCGAGAAAATTCTCGAAGAGACGTCCTTAATTAGCCAGGAGACACTCTGTAACAGATTCTCTCCGGTAACGGCGCTGCATCCGTATATGCTCCAGTGGTGCGTCGTGATGTCCCGCAGATTCAAGGCCTCAGATATTTGAGCTGGAGTCAGGGAGCCGGCCAGATCCTATAACAAAAGACAGACGAAAACTCGCGGTACTATGCCGACAAGGCAGAATAAGGGACGATTACAAAATAAGGAGGGCTTTGGGACGCTCAATGATCGTTCTTACGGAACTCACTCTTTCTATTGTGCCTTACGGGCTCTCGCGAGCCTAAACAGCAGCAGCATGGCGGCGCATGATATAAGCAGAATGTTATTACCGACAAAGACAAGGGGGACTGGAATGGCCATTTCTGGCTTATTGGCCGTCATCAGCCAGTCATGCCCAACCCCGAAGTGTGGAACACCTGGGGCCCGAACTCGCTACCTGTTAGTTAGAAGTCCAACGCCTCTAACCACTGGGCCATCTCAAGCGGGACAGACTGTAAACAATGAAGAGCCCCAAAGGGCACCCATGATTGAGCTCGCCGTTGGAGGTGCGGTCTCTCCTCGGGAAGACGAAGCCCAAAAAACAATAAGGGGTAAAAGGAAGCAAAAACGACTCAAAAACAAAATACAGATGTCCGCAAAGTAGGTCGGATGAGCAAACAGACATAAGCACAAATATGAACAAGTCAGACCACTAAATTAATACAGGTTTTGGTAAAAGGTCGAACATATTGCCAGTAAATTTCCTGAGTTGGGCCACACGGCGGACCAGATTTCAGTGCTCAGAATAGTTGGTTTAGTGATGGCTACGACCAAGGCAGGGAATAGACTAACTACTGTGCCGAACACAAAACATGAGTACTCACCCCCAACATCATAAGACACCACCACTGCCAGAATCATTACTGAGGTTACCCCCCAGGACATCACCAGTAATCTTTGCCGCCATCATGCAAATGCCTGGTCGATCGCCTGTGAACTCACCCCACTTCTACCTCAGAAACAGCGCCTGTAGCCCCGACATACATCCGTGAGTCACGTCTTGCCTGTCGGCACTGTCCAAGGATGTTCAGACAATGTATGGCTCAAGTCGTTAACATGTGCAATCACGAAAACCCACGGTGGGGCAGCATCTGCAATGCGTTCAAGCAACAACTCTCCCTACCGGCACACGCAAAACCCATTTGAGCTACACATGGCCACCCATATTCGGTCGCACGCGTATAAACACTGGCAATCACCACAACCTTACACATCATTCACGTAACAGTCATGAGATGCAGTTCACTAGCACCGCTGTGAAGTGCGAAACACCGCATGTGAGATGATGCAGATCTCGTTTACGTGAGATGCGTGCCCACTGGCGTGGCCCGGCACATGCGGAGCGGGGACTGGGTTGTGCGTGGCACGCGTAGAAGGAATGTTTAAATCTGCCGATTAATACGTCCGATTATCACTCATTCGGCCCGATTCGAACATGCCGGTAGCGCATGTAAGAGATGCCCACGAATAACAAAACCACCTTCAGGGATGCCGGCAAGGGAACCCATGAATATGCCCCAATCAGTCACGGCGCCACAATGATACCCATTTGACCTTGAGCAAGCGCAACCCCCCCTGCTCTAGTGAAATGGGGTGATAAATGAGCAATGCCCGTTTTGTTCGACCTCCCTTTCGGTTTGGCCTGCTGTAACGTGAAACCTTCTAATCTCTGAACGTGGGGCAGTTGAATTCCTTGCCCAAAACGTTCGACTGCAAGTACACATCATTCGGTGAACATCTCCCCTTATGATTGCTGGAAGACGTATGTCCACTATATCCAAATGGAGACCCTGATCATGTTTTCAAGTGAGATTGGGTTGAGTTCAAGACCCAGTTAGGAGCGTCATGCGTTTCCCCCTGTAGGTTATACCGTGATGAGACCCAGGTAAATCGTAGGGGCTGCTCGATTGCTATTAGGGTTCTTGATGCCCTCTAAAAGTTCTTCATAACGTTTCAGCGTTCTTCTGAGCAGCGAGAAGGCTTTTTGTGACCGTTTACTATCACTACAACTATTCGTGTCCATTAGTTCCGTCGTTATGTTTATTGTACAGGAGAAATAAATGGCACGGCCGCCAAGTTCAACAAGCCAGTTTAATCAAACAAGTTTTTCCCCACAAACCACCGGCAATATTTGAAACTGAGTTGCTATTTCCCCTTCTCCAATTACCCATGGCGCAGGAAGTTCACTACGTTGCTAAACTAAAGCAAATTACCTCGTTTATTCAGGTTGATCAATAACGTCGCCCACTGCCCACGCCCGCGCGCCCTTAAAGGAAATGAAGTTCTCGAGTTGACGGCTTATGAAAACAATAGTGAAATCTGCACCTGTTGCTCTTGCTCTCGCCTTTCCTCAAGATGTATTCAATCGTGGGTGCAAAAAAGGACAAGGAAGAAGACAAGATAACGCACCTGTTTGTTTGCCAGAACTAAGAGGGTAGCACCCACAAGACGCTCTTCAAGCAGAAGCTTCCCCAGTTCCTCGCGACAGTCGTCAAGTCGAGGGCGATCTGAACTGTCTACTACCCAAATGAGGGCATCAGTGGTTTCAAAGTAGTTGCGCCAATAGGAGCGAAGAGAACGCTGTCCACCGACATCCCACACATTAAGCTTGTAGCTAGGAGAAGAGGCAGGTTCGAGATAAGTCGCTCCAGCCAAACGCAACATGAACGGTTCGTAGGTGAATTTACCCCATGTATTCAAGCGTTTGTATGGTGAAACCGAGAGTCGGCGCAATGGTTCCAATGTCCTCGCCGTTGAACTTTTTGACGATGGTGGTCTTGCCGGCATTGTCCAGGCCGCTGTAGACAGCAGAGCAATTCACACACAAAGACTTAGTAGTAAAAAAGCAACTTTAACAGTCCACCTCTTTCGTTGTTGCAACTGCTGCCAAAGACAAATATACGTTCTAAAAGTCGTGCCGTAAAAACCTGGAGTACGTGCATGGTGACCAAAACTTACCATCATCCCCATCAGTACTTACAGTCTAATCAAAGTTGCCACTGATTGCTGTCGGATATATACCTTGAGGGGTTACTCCGGTGAGGAAAGAGGACCAGAGTGACGTCCGCATATGTAGTGCAAAATCGTAGCTGGTGGCAGGCCTAAGTTGGCGATTATTGCCGAGTAGAGCAAATATAACCATGACTGTTCTGTCCAATCCCCCTTGGCTGAGTGTCTTTCTGCCAAAACGACTCATTTGCAGTATCACATTCAGGCGGCTGTCACGTAATCATTGTTGATTATATGAAAGTGAGAGGCGCGTTCGCAGGTTCGGTCAGATTGTAGGATGAAATAGGTTCATATGCTTTGTCTTTTAACACAAGTCTTGATATCCCCTAGGTGGTCGCATAGAAGCGGTAAGTATTACCGAAAAAGATAAGGGGGACTGGGGTAGCGATTTTCGGCTTCTTTGTAACCGTCAGTTTGCCATATCCCAACTCCACACCCATACGATCTAGGATTTGAATCCTGACCCATGGGGGCTTTCTGCTTAATGTTCTATAGGCTAGGTCAAGGATCCGAAGATTGCCGGGTGCGGCAGGGAATATTCAAACTAACACGAGAGTTATGTCCAGGTCTCGGATTTTCCCGGCCCAGAGTCTGGGGTATGGCTGTCTGATGAGAATAAATTAACTCGACGTTATTACACCGGTCCTTCCGCCCCTGCCATTGTCGATAATAGTTTTGGATTGTCAACCTGTTTTTCATTGATGTTTCGGCGTAGTTTGAATAATTCAAATTGATCCAACTGTGAAAAACTCGGCGCCTCGGTGGGATTCAAACCCACGTAGTAATGGGAAGGCTTTAGTACAGCCACCGAGGCGCCGTTTTTTCCCAGATTGGTCAATATGAATTATTCAAAATCTGCCAAAACATATATGAATTACGTGAGCCTGGTAGTCATCTGGTGGATTCTAGGTGAATTACTTAGAAAATCCTGTTTGGACAGTCAACTAAATATATCAGAATTGGTGGATTCCAGACGTTGCAGTAGGTTGGGCGGATAACTTGACCCAAATGTGATTAAACTCGCGTCGCCCGGCGGGGCCTCGTACCTCAAGTGGTTGGAGCGTTGGCTGTACTAAAGCCTTCCCCTTACTGCGTGGGTTCGAATCCCACCGATGCGCTGGGTTTTTCACAGTTCGGTCAATATCAACCTGTTTTTGTCACAGCCAACCAAGTCTCTAGTCACGGGTTAGCGCGCATGCGCCACGTCCAGTGAGACGGTGGGGGCGTAAGAGATCAGTGGCTCAAACGCCGAGTCCTAAAAGTGGAGGGTCGTGTGAGGAAGATTACTCACAAAGATCCAATTAGATAAACTTGAAGAGCCGTGACAAAAAAGGATGTTCTGACTACAAAGCTCGACGAATGACACTAGCTAACCCTCATGCATGTTTCAAAAGTTGGGACCATTCTAGCAGACCCGGCCAAACAGATGCCATAGAAACGTCAATCAGGGGACGTCTTCGATAGCTAAAAGACACCGCTTGTCTCGGTGACCATGAGTTCCAGTATCTTATGCCTACCGATGCGAGAGCAGTGAGGTGATATGGACTTCCGAAAGTTCATAAATCGAACTTACCAGTGCAGTCAATACTAGGTATGAGCAATAAACCCTATGCTTGGCTGAACTACTAAAAACAAGCCGACGAAGTGTCCGATACATACTTCAGCTCGTAGACGACGTTCAAGGTTAAAATGTTAATAGCAAGAACCATGCTGGGTGTAACATCTCACCTCATCAACATTACTCTAGCGGAGACAATAACACAGTCGTGTAAAGAACTTCGAAGGAATCAAGTCCCAATAGGGATGATGGCGGAGGCGCTAGGAGAATTGCTCCTTTTCTTTATATTCAGTGTACAGTTTAGATTTAATGACGAGTTCTATCGTTAGACTTGGGATTCAGAGCTGAAGATTTGATTACAGAAAACCAGAAGAAAATTACATACGAATGAAGGCGAAAGTTCGAGTTCCAGGTGTATGTATAAGCGAAGAAGAAGGGCGGTCGAGTACCGAAACACTCAGTTTATTGTCCTGAGCTTTCAGACTCGTACAGGAGTCCATCATCAGAGGTTGTAGCAGCAACAGAACAAGCGACAGTTATATGGCGTGTTAGCCAATCATCGACGACGGCGCAAGACTAGAGGTGACTGCGCAGGGCTCTGTACGCCAGCGCCAGATCGATAAATTACATAAGTCATATGACAAGGAGCATTTCCAAGCAGATACGCGAGCACTGCTACCGCTGTTTGGTCAGGACATAACCAGGTCCATCACACTAACGCAGTCTTGGTTCATTTAACGGACACTGATTTCCAAATGAGTGTTGAAGACGCCCTTCATTCCGTGCACAGGGTTCGACTGAACCGACCAAGGCACCCATGTAAGTGGACGCGGCCACTATCCCCTTAAGCAACCCTGTCTTCTCCTCTCAAAGGGCATTCGTAAAACGTTTCAAGCTTCCTTGACCGAGACAGGCAATGTGACCCATTAGTTGGCACAATAGCCCAATAGACTGTGAACCATGACGGATAACTGGCCAGGTCGCACCTAACATGCGACACCACGTCGCTCAGATATATTACCAACCCTCTCCTCTTCCACCAAATAGCTTGACTCTCCGTTATAGGAACAAAATATTACTGGGTCTTATAGAGCGCATTTTAATCAAGTTAACCTTGCACATGAATGATACACTGGTTTGCGATTGTGGAATTGCTGAGTCTACTTACTGAATAGGAACAGGAATTAACAGCGGTCAGTGAACATGAACGACTATTTAGTGCAAGCGGGAAAATTTACTTACAGAATGAGAACGCGGATTTCCCTTTCCTTCTGCTTTAACTTCTTCAGGATTGTCAAGAGACCCATCCTAAGAGGAACTGGCTACGGCGGATATCTGCCGCTCGGGTTTGTGAAAATTGGTGAGAACAGGTCAGTTGTTATATTTCCTGCTGAGAGAGGAAGAGTAGTAAATACAAGGAAACAAAGAGGAAAACAAAACCAGACTCGGTTGCATTCGCAACCGAGTATCTGTCTCAGTGCGAAAATGAAAGCATCGCCCTGACTACGTGATTTTAAATAAACTGCAAAAATGACCATGAAAAGGAGGCTGATCTCGTTGAAGAAAATACAATGAGTGAATGGCTGAGATTGCACAGAAAAGGCGGAAACTGGTGAACTTTCTCCCCAAAACAGCGGAACTTTTGCCCGGAGAATAACCGGTCGCGGACCATCAGCGGCTTTATTAGCTGAATACGAAAGGTTTACACCGGACAAACAGACAATCTTAATAAATACCGCAGGACCCAAT